CTATTGATCCGTTATGCTTGGGTGCTCCCTTGACAGTGTTTCCGTGACGTTGAAGATAACGAAGACCCAGTTTGTTTCTCCCATGGGAGACAGGGCGCGGAGGACATTCAAAAGTATAGTCAATTCTTTATATAAAAAAATGAAAAAACAAGTAACAAAATTGTAAAAAGTAACAACTAAAACCAGACTTAAAGTTTTCCCAAGTATTATATTTGTAATAGCAGTACAGAATCACACAAATCGAGTTCGGTCCCATTCCTCACAGCAATATTCTGGTAATGTATTAATTTATTCAGACGATGAGCTTGCCAACTAGGGTATGTTGCTGTAAGTGGAATGCATGGAACAGTACAAAAGAAGGACTGCGGTGTTCGTGGTTTGGTTCTGAGAGGTACTAATGTAGATAACGGCGGAAAACGCATACACCGAGAAAAGTCTCTCTTGAGTTATCAATAACAGGAAAATGGAATAATGAAGTTTCGCTCGCGCCCCAAAATGGTCTTTCACGTTTTTCCAATCTAAACATGCGAGTTGAAAAGCGTGATAGAGTTTTTGAATTCGTTTCGTTTGTTATTCCGGGCCGCTATTTGTTTTAACAGTGAATATTCCTTATATCCAATAGTGATGTTTGCCACGTGAGGGTTCTTTCCCATGACAGAAAATGGTTTATGAACGTGTAAATATTACTCGAATTACACTGCAAACTCTATGGATTCTATTGTGTACATCTGCTATTGTATTCCAGCGACAGGCAGATAAAATGTTATTTTAATTTCCCCTGGTAGAACCGACTCATTAGATTAAATTATTTACCTCGTAAATTGGAGATACATCTACACACAATCTCGGTATGGTATTTGTACCGATAAAGAGCTACTCCAGTCATTAAATAGATCGATACTTGACACAGTGTATTGAATGGTCCAATACACTCGAATGTTGGGTAACGCAATGGATCATTGTCAAAGCTAACGGGCCATGAGCGCGAGTGTTTGCGGTTTAGGGGTATTCAGTTAGGAAATGAAATCGTGTTTTCATTGAACTGGTGGAAACGAAGACCGCATGCCATACTGAAGCTGTACTAAAAACACAAATTACTACACTCCTCCTCATTATTCTCCTTACTCACCATCTACTCCCCTTCTCCTTATCCTTTTCCCTCCCCATTCTCTTTCTCATTCTACCCTGCCCCATATTCCTCCTACTCCTCATGATCCCATTCCTTATTTCCTCCTCCTCCTCCTCCTCCCCTCCTCCCCTCCTCCCCTCCCCTCCTCCTCCTCCTCCTCCTCCTCCTCGTGCTGACTTTTCCTACCCAGTAATGTAGATGGTTGTGGACTGTTGAGCTCCGATCATGATTTTGCTTCTGTGTTCAAGTCATACCGTTTAAATGTGAATCATAAAGTTTAGAATTAATTGTGGGTCTTCTGAAGAGGTTGGCGCTACTAAATGACCAACGTATAAATTCTTTAAACTCAAAGACACCAAACCACCCTCCTGCTTTTTGTCTTTTATACAATTTTATATAATTACCCTAAAGCATTCGCCAGTAACAGAAAATATGAATAACATGCTTCATGAGGTTGCTTGTTCATTTGTCTGCCGGAAAGTTTTCATGTGTTTCTAATATGCGAAACAGAGGACGAAATATCCGGAGAGACCGGATATTGTAAGAATAGAACCAAAACGAGTCTGGAAACTAAGACGGCACATTCTCAGAGTGTGTTAACAACGTGGCGCCAAGATATGCGTAGGAAGAATCAGCCGAAAAATCAGAGGAACTATGGGATTAGATAACTTTTTCTGCTTTAGTAACATTCTACCTAACTCTTTATTGGTATAATATAGTCCATATAAATAATAATTTGCAAATGTAAAATATTGATTTGTTGTACAGAAACGCTCCGCATTTACTTGCACTATAATTGTCACGTGGTTTGTTTATGTATTTCCGTTTTCACTCTGTCTTATCGCAAGACAGTGACGGCATTAAATGATCTACTACACATACTCGTTGCTTGTTACTGCACAGTGAAAACCTGCGATCGTCAGCAAACAGAACAGAAGCGAACAGAAATATGACAAATACGACGGTAAGTCAAGAAATTAAAGAAACCAGGGTTAGAAATATTACGGGCGAAGAGAAGGAATTATACGAAACTAACTTTCAGAAACATGCATTGTATGGAAGGCCTTGTACAGATGAGAAGTCGCCTTGATACCCTTTTGAATGAACCCACATCCTCTGTGGAAAGCTTTCACAGACTTCTTGAAAAGAACTAGAACAGAAGAAAGTTTTAGGAACTTAGTACACACAGGTATATACTCAATACCCTTGATATGAGGAAAGTTTTTATCATACAACAGAGAATATCATTGCAATCACCAATGGCCCAGCCCACTATAAATCCAGAGAAACACACATAAACACAGCCCCTAAACAAGATTGATCGAGATGATAGTCAGTCTCTACACTCATCAAACAGATCATCATACAGATCTCACAGATCATTACACAGATCGCACAGATCATCACACAGATCTCAACAGAGAATATCATATAGATCATCATACAGATCTCACAGATCATCACACAGATCTCAACAGAGAATATCATACAGATCATCACACAGATCTCACAGATCAACACACAGATCTCACAGATCATCACAGAGATATCAACAGATCATCACACAGATCTCACAGGTCTCAACAGATCATCATACAGATCTCACAGATCATCACAAAGATCTCACAAATCATCACATAGATCTCAACAGGGAATATCATACAGATCATCATACAGATCTCACAGATCATCACACAGATCTCAACGATCATCACACCGATCTCACAGATCTCAACAGATCATCATACAGATCTCACAGATCATCACACCCGGATCTCACAGATCATCATGCAGATCTCACAAATCATCACAGAGATCGAACAGATTATCACACAGATCATCACAGATCATCACACAGATCTCACAGATCATCACACAGATCTCAACAGATCATCACACAGATGTCACAGATCATCAAACTTATCTCACAGATCATCTTACAGATCTCAACAGATCATCATACAAATCTCAACAGATCATCATATAGATCTCACAGATCATCAAACAGATCTCACAGATCATCATACAGATCTCACAGATCATCACAAAGATCTCACAGATCATCACAGAAATCAAACAGATCATCACACAGATCTCACAGATCATCACACAGATCATCACACAGATCATCACACAGATCTCAACAGGTCATCACACAGATGTCACAGATCATCATACAGATCTCACAGATCATCACAAAGATCTCACAGGTTATCACAGAGCTCGAACCGGTCAGAGATCAGCTCAGCATAACTACGTGAAAAGGTTAAGTCTGAAACAGCAAAGATCAGACTTATATTTGCTGAGAAAGACGCTTTAATAGAAAGGGAGGCTGCTGAGAAACAGGCTCAACTTAAGATAATAAAATCAGAAAGGGAATACATAGAGGCCACAGCCAAGCTCCAGGTGAAGGATGCATTTTTGAATGAAAGTCGGCCCTCGTCAAGCATCAATGTCCCTGCTGAAGAGCTCTCATAATACAATAAAGTCGGGCTATTTATCGATAGTCACGTACCTACCCGGCCTAAACCATTCCATTATGGCGTAAACCTAACCCTGAGAAGCAAGGAAATACCCAGTGTAAGTTTATGCAACGATATCCCTTATGATACACATATTAAACCTGAACAGCGACATCAGGCCTCAGAGTTTATCCCAAGTTACCTCCCTCTTCCATATTTGTTTGCCGACACCACTCCTGGAATGCAGGATCCCCAGAATGTTATTGATGAGAATGGCGAAGCCCATACCTGTAACAAACTGGACACAGAGCCCAACGCGCAGCCTCACAATCCTACACCTGTTGGACAAACAATAACAAAAAATTGGCAGAAGTAATGCCAACCGATTAAGGACACTATATAGGAAAAAGACACTCTGTCAGATCTTAGTTAGTTTCTTATGAAGAAAGATGTCCTTCTACACCGGCTCTCCAGCTTCAACAACAAAGCAGGAGCATACCTCTCATGGAAGGCCTCCTTCAAGAATATATCTTGAACCTCAGTGCTGACGAGGAAATAGACACATTAGTCAAATACCTGGGACCAGAATCACGACGTCGTGCTGAGAGCTTGCGTATTGCCAACGCTACTAACCAAAACCTTGCTTTGACCAAGATATGGACTAGGCTAGAGCAGCGGTATGGACCCCCGAACCAGTTGAATTGTCTCTCAGACAGAAGCTTGCTTCACTATTAAAAATACCCAACACTGACCCGAAGCGTCTCTATGAACTTGCAGACCTCCTAGCGGAAATCGTATCCATCAAGGAGCAAGATACGTTCAAAACCCTCATGTCTACCTTTGATTCATCGACCGGAGGCAATCCAGTTGTCACAAAACTTCCGGTTTACCTACAAAATATATGGACTGAGCATGCTAGTCGTCATAAAAGGACGAAGAGTGCGATGTATCCCCCATTCAGTGTTTTTGTCGACTTAATCAGCGATCACGCCTTCAGAGCAAATGCCCCAAGCTTTAATTATTCATCTAAACCAGAAGGTAAAGCAGACTGCACGCCAGACAAGAGTAAGAACGAACTGGGACCATCACATAGGACAAGATCCATGTCTGCCCACAAGACAGAAGTGAACTAAAAAAGCACAGTTTCTGTGATCTGTCCACTCCACATTTCTCCGCACAATCTAAACGATTGTAAGGCCTTCCAAAGGAAACCGATAGATAAACGAAAGAGGTTCATGCAGGAAAGGGTATGAAAGTATAAGTCTACACCAGAGCACTTCAAATACATATTCGCCATTGTGGACGACCAGAGCGATCGGTCCCTTGCACCATCAGAGTTCTTCGATGTATTTGAGGAACGGAAATCCGAAACGGAGTATACTCTGTCCTCATGTGCCACGGTCTTAACAATGTCAGGACGACGAGCTACAGGATATGTCGCGGAATCGACGGATGGTCTCATCCAGATGGACCTACCACCTCTTATTGAATGTAAGGACACACCCAACGACAGAGAAGAAATCCCCATACCCGAGATAGCGGAACACATTCTTCATTTAGCAGACATAGCAAGTCAGATCCCGCACCTGAACTATGATGCCCCTATTGCACTCCTCATTAGCAGAGATATGGTTGATGCTCATAGGGTGCTAGAATAACGATTTGGCCTCAGGAACTCTCCATTTGCTCAGAGGCTAGGATTTGGATGGGTGCTGATTTCACTTCAACATATTTTATTGACAAAGAAGAATGTTACACTGTCAAACGGATTGGACAACAGGCTTATAGCCTATATAAGTCCTCTCCATTGTTGATAGATATATGGATATAATGGATTGATATTATAATTATAAAGATTTTGCTACTGAACTCTGGCAGGACACGCGTCTTCAAACCATGTTACATCTTCTTTGAAACGAAAGAAACAGTCTCAGATGAAGTTTCCCTGTTTGAAAGGACTGTTGAAGATGAAATACCAGGGTTGTCAATAGAAGACCAACAGTTCCTTGATCTCTTGAATAAGAACATGTCCAAAAATGAGGATGGTCGCTGGGAAGCGACCATCAAGATCGTCAACCACTTCCCAAAAACAGGGAGGACGCCATGAAAAGAGCACGGTCATTAACAACAAGTCTTAAGAGAACCCCCCGGAAGTTTTTCGATGTGAAAGAAGAACACGGAAACTACCTCAGATTCTTGTGGCACAAGGCTAACGATCTAGACCAGGATGTGCTTGAGTATCGCATGAGGGTACACACATTTGGAAACTCTCCATCGCCGGCTATTGCCACATAATGTCTCCGGAAGGCCGCATTCTCTGTGAAAGAAGCCTTCGGCTATGATGTCTGCGACTTTGTGCTCAACAACTTCTACGTTGACGATGGTCTGCTGTCACTCCCCGATGTGGAATCTGCGGTTGATATTCTCAAAAGAACTCACATAGAAGGAATCCTGCGACTTCATAAAATCTCCTCCAACAGTCAGGAACTCATGGATTCTTTCCCATCAGAGGATATAGCGGAAAATCTGAAGAATATCAGCTGTCAGACCGAAAACCCACCACTTCAACGCAGTCTAGGCATTTTCTGGGATATATCTCGCGAAACATTCACTTGCACAGTGTCCCTTGACAAGAAACCGTTCACAAAAAGAGGAGTTTTGTCGACTGTTGGAAGCCTCTATGATCCCCTTTGCCTCCTTGCACCTATAACCATCAAAGGAAAAATGTTCTTCAGAAATGTTATAAATATGAAAAGTGGTTGGAACGCCCCTCTACCCTCTGATCTTGAGAGAGAATGGCATCAGTGGTGGTGTTCCCCGAAGGAGCTCGAGATCCTCAATATACCTCGCTGCTACGGTAGTGGCACAACCGGAAAGAATATAAATGAACTTCATGTCTTCTCTGATTCATCATCAGAAGCCATCGCAGCAGTAGCCTTCTTGCGGACAATCAACTGTGAAGGACAGACTGAGGTCTCGTTTGTCCTGGGAAAGGCGAAGTTGGCATCAGCTGGAGGACACACTATCCCTCGCTTGGAGCTATGTGCGGCAGTCCTTGCCACTCAGATAAAGGACACGGTGATCGTTAGTCTGCACCTGGATATCAACAAAGTGTAGATGTATAAAGACAGCAAAATCGTCCTGGGGTACATTTGCAACGCCAAGAGACGGTTCTATGTGTATGTTGGAAACTGCGTTCAGACGATAAGGAAGACAACGGAACCTGACCAGTGGACGTAGCGACAACCCAGCGGGTATAGGAACACGCTCAGTCGCTGCTTCTAAGAGGGTATCCAGCATTTAGATCAATGGACCGCCATTTCTCAAGGAGAACGTCGCAGGATCTCCCTTTGCTGCCACCAAGTTTCCTCTTGTCGATCCTGAATCCGACAAGGAAATTCGTCCAGAAGTATATATGGCTAAAGATTTGGTTTGGAAGAGGGACTCCTTCGACACAGCCAAATATGAAAAATTATCGCAATGTGATCGACTTGTAAGAGCCATACGCGGAACGATTGATCACTATGTACCTACAGAAGGAACACTACTCAAAGGGAATTGAGTGCCTGCAAAACAAGAAGAATCTACCTCGGGATAGTTCCATACTCAACACGACACCATTCCTCGACGAACAGGGAGTCCTTCGTGTCGGAGGACGGTTGAACAAAACCCATGAACTTGCTCATATAACTACACTCAATCCTATACTCATCCGAGGAAAGAGTCATCTTAGTCTTCTCCTCGTGCGCTATTTCAATCACAAAGTGCATCATCAAGGTCGACATCTGACCGATGGAGCAGTCAGATCCACTGGATTATGGGTCGTCGGAGGAAAACGGACAATCTCCTCATGTATCCACCAATATGTTACATGTATCTGTAAAACACTTAGAGGTACCTCTGGAAACCAGAAGATGGCCGACCTGTCAGTAGGTAGGATTACCACCGACTTATCCGGGATAGTGATGTGCCTTTAGAACTTGAAACCATTTTTATGTCTTATGAGCTTGAATCTTTCATTGTGAATCTAGTCATTTTGATACCACAATATTATGTGATCATGAACTCAATCGGGCGGGAGTGTGCCGTCTCATTTTCCAGACTTTTCTCGTTTTGGTTCTATTTTTACAATTTCCGGACTCTCTGGATAATTCGTCCTGAATTTCGCATATAAGAAACTCATGAAAACTTTCCGGTAGAAAAACCTCCTGAAGCATATTATCCATAGTTTCTGTTACAGTCACCAGACGACACGTCACTACCCCTGATACATCCCCAGTTTCTGTTACAGTCCCCAGACGACACGTCACTACCCCACATACATCCCCTGTCTCTGTTACAGTCAACAGACGACACGTCACTACCCCTGATACATCCCCAGTTTCTGTTACAGTCACCCGACGACACGTCACTACCCCTGATACATCCCCAGTCTCTGTTACAATCAACAGACGACACGTCACTATCCCTGATACATCCCCTGTCTCTGTTACAGTCACCAGACGACACGTCACTCCCCCTGATACATCCCCAGTTTCTGTTACAGTCACCAGACGACACGTCACTCCCCCTGATACATCCCCAGTTTCTGTTACAGTCCCCAGACGACACGTCTCAACTCTTGAGACATCCCTTGTCTTTGTTACAGTCACCAGACGACACGTCACTACCCCTGCTACATCCCCTATCTCTGTAACAGTCACCAGACGACACTTCTCAACACTTGATACATCCCCAGTCTCTGTTACAGTCACCAGACTATTATCCATAGTTTCTGTTACAGTCACCAGACTACACGTCCCTACCCCTGATACATCCCCAGTTTCTGTTACAGTCCCCAGACGACACGTCACTACCCCACATACATCCCCTATCTCTGTAACAGTCACCAGACGTAACGTCTCAACACTTGAGACATCCCCAGTCTTTTGTAACAGTCACCAGACGACACGTCTTAACTCTTGAGACATCCACTGTCTCTGTTAAAGTCACCAGACGACACGTCACTATCCCTGATACATCCCCTGTCTCTGTTACAGTCACCAGACGACACGTCACTACCCCACATACATCCCCTGTCTCTGTTACAGTCACCAGACGACACGTCACCACCCCTGATACATCTCCAGTTTCTGTTACAGTGACCAGACGAAACGTCTCTACCCATGATACATCCCCACACGTCACTACCCCACATACATCCCCTGTCTCTGTAACAGTCTCCAGACGACACGTCACTACCCCACATACATCCCCTATCTCTGTAACAGTCACCAGACGACACTTCTCAACACTTGATACATCCCCAGTCTCTGTTACAGTCACCAGACGACACGTCACTACCCCTGATACATCCCCAGTTTCTGTTACAGTCACCAGACGACACGTCACTATCCCTGATACATCTGCAGTTTCTGTTACAGTGACCAGACGAAACGTCTCTACCCATGATACATCCCCACACGTCACTACCCCACATACATCCCCTGTCTCTGTTACAGTCACCAGACGACACGTCTCAACACTTGATACATCCCCAGTCTCTGTTACAGTCACCAGACGACACGTGACTACCCCACATACATCCCCTATCTCTGTAACAGTCACCAGACGACACGTCTCAACTCTTGAGACATCCCTTGTCTTTGTTACAGTCACCAGACGACACGTCTCTACCCCTGATACATCCCCAGTCTCTGTTCCAATCACCAGACGACACGTCACTATCCCTGATACATCCCCTGTCTCTGTTACAGTCACAAGACGACCCGTCACTACCCCTGATACATCCCAAGTCACTGTAACAGTCACCAGACGTCACGTCTCAACTCTTGAGACATCCCCTGTCTTTGTTACAGTCACCAGCCGACACGTCACTACCCCTGATACATCCCCTGTCTCTGTAACAGTCTCCAGACGACACGTCACTACCCCACATACATCCCCTGTCTCTGTAACAGTCTCCAGACGACACGTCTCAACACTTGAGACATCCCCAGTCTTTGTAACAGTCACCAGACGACACGTCACTACCCCACATACATCCCCTGTCTCTGTAACAGTCCCCAGACGACACGTCTCAACACTTGATACATCCCCAGTCTCTGTTACAGGCAACAGACGACACGTCACTACCACTGATACATCTCCAGTTTCTGTTACAGTGACCAGACGAAACGTCTCTACCCATGATACATCCCCACACGTCACTACCCCACATACATCCCCTGTCTCTGTAACAGTCACCAGACGACACGTCTCAACTCTTGAGACATCCCCTGTCTTTGTTACAGTCACCAGACGACACGTCTCTACCCCTGATACATCCCCAAACTCTGTTACTGTCACCGGACGACACGTCTCTACCCCTGATACATCCCCAGTCTCTGTTACAGTCAACAGACGACACGTCACTACCACTGATACATCTCCAGTTTCTGTTACAGTGACCAGACGACACGTCA